AGAGTAAGGTTTGAATGGAGTGTTCAAGATCTTCATCTGTAGAGTACAATTCACGTAGCCTGTCCCATATTTCTTTTGCAGTCGTGCATGAACTTACCAGCCTAAAAGTATCGGATTGAAGAGCAAATCTAATCAATCTTAGCGCTTTGATATTGCACTGAAATTTAACTTTTTCGTCTTGCGCTACATCTTTAACATCTTTCAGAAGATCATTATACTCCTTTTGAGTTTTAATAATCCTTGAAGTTGCTGAATGAGAAAACGGTCCAGAGATAATTGCTTCCCAGATGAGGTATCCATTATCCTCAGATCCTATGACATAATCTTCAAAGTGATTCGCCCAGACTTCATAATCATGGGTGTACAGGATGGGAATCTTCGTTGTTGATCCAATGCTGTTTGAAATATTGATGGGATTGGATTGCGACTCGTCCATAATTGATCGAATAACCTGTTCAAAGATCAGACTTGTAATATATCAAATTAGGGCAAAAACAATAAATATTGAGATACGTCAATTATGAGATGACGGCTCAATAAATATCAATGAATGCGGAATAACCCTAATCGAAGCTTTTTCACAGAAAAGAAGTGTATCGATTACACAGCCTCCTGCTCTGATACCAATTGTAGATTTTAAAACAAACTTGAAGATCGATTAGATCTGTGAAACAGGTAGAGAAACAATCAGATAAACAATTAAGAACAAGCTAATGGATCAAAAGGTGTCGAATGATTTAATAAACAATCCTCAGAAGAGCTCGATAAAGAACATCAACTGTAGAGGATTTTAGGGTTTACAAACAATCAATGAGAGTGATGACCTTGGACTATACGCATACATGCATGCATATATTTATAATAAAACCCTAACGGTTTATCTAAGAAAAAGAAGGCTAATCTAGATAAACACGGATTGACAAGCCCAATCCGGCTGTAAAACATAAGGGCCCAAGACGCAACACAATAATCTTCAACATATATCTTTTTGGACCAAAAGAGGTTTTTATCTTATATAGATTTATATTTTTTATAAGTTATAAAAATTAGAAGAATTTTATAGAAAACTAACTTTTTCTTTTTATAAAATATTCCTGGAGATCGTAAAGGGAAAACAAGACATGCTTGTATTTATTTAATCATATAGAAATGTTCTTACACTTGTAGCCTTTTGTCGCTAGAGCCATGTTGTCTTAAAACATCAATGGTTAAGGACTTTGATTAAGATGACTAAAAGGATTTTCTTTATATCTTCTTTAGCTAGACAAAAACCACAAAATTGTAGGCTTTATATCTCCATATTCTCTCTAGTTTTTGTCTCTTAAAGTGTTAAGATCAAGTAGGAAGAAGTTGATACTTTACTTGAACTCTCCTTTGTAACAAAATCTTTGTTTTTGTTCTTAAAACCTTAAGAGTATTATTATTACAAGAAGAGGACTAGCTCTTATCAGAGTACCTCAAGAAATTGAGCTTTCGGTTTCAAAGATCTGTGCGCGTAATGTATGGTTTTTCTTCAAACAACCTGTAAGTTGAGTTATGTTTCTCTTACTTTAAGTATAACTTATATTTATGTTTATAATCATTATTATAAACTTATAAATAAGATCTATTACTAATATTAGTAGTTATATTGACCGATCTAATTACGAAAATGATGACAAGGTAAGATCAATGAGGTCTTTAAAGTGAATTTTCCAAACAGTATATCTTCATATGTCAAATGGTGTAACGACGAGATTTTCAAAACAAAATTTTCATTTTTCAACAACCATATTTTAAATATAAAACATTCTAAAAAAAATGTTTCACAATAGTTATTAATCAAACATGTCCCCAAGATCATAAATCAAATCTCCTCTCGGTGTGTACGGTTCATGTCGGCACCTTCCTACGGTCCTCGCTAGTACCTGAAACACATAACACAACAACTATAAGCATAAACGCTTAGTGAGTTCCCCACAATACCACATACAACACATACGCCACTCGAGGCTACTGTACGACCCCCCCCCCCCGGCCGATGTGTCTCAGCGGGTCCCTCCAGTCTCGTAGCTCGTTGGACCCTTTGGTCCGGTCATAGCTCGTTGGGCCCTCTGACCCGGTCTGAATCGTTGGACCCTCCGGTCCGGTCTATACAATTATATATATTATACATACATCACATAGCACATAATCTCATACATGGCACACAATCTCATACATAGCACATAAGACCTTCCGATCAACTCATAATACCACTCTAGGTAATGTATAGTGAGAAGACTCACCTCGTGTGACTCGGTAACTCGGAAATTTCGGTCTCCGTGAAATAGGATCTAGCCTCCGCCTAATCATATGAAAATAAACACTCGACATCAACACAATTCCCAAGGCTAGACCATTCTCTCTCTTAGCACTCTTAGGAGGGTAAAAGACCATTTTACCCCTCTCAAGGCTCAAATACTCTAAAGTTGACCAACCCTCAAAGTCAACAAAAGTCAACGGTCAACCCTTTGACCAAACTCGCCGAGTGCACAATTGTGACTCGGCGAGTTCAGTCATGAACTCACGTCCTCAAAACCCCAAATGACTCACTGAGTCACTTCCCCAACTCAACGAGTTACGATCTGTGTGATTTATGGGGGAAACTCATCCTACTCGTCGAGTCTGTTCTTGGACTCGGCGAGTTCAAGCCATGCTCAAACTCAAATGACCTTCTGAGGTCAGATCTGCTCCTCTAATCCATAGATCTAACCTCCCCAAGCTCAATAAACATGTCAAGGTTCGAACTTGATACACATACAACGTCCAAATGACACTACTTGATGATTTAGACCCAAATACAACACTCTAAGTTCATCTCTTCCATAACCCAACATAAAGCAAGATGGATAACCTTCTCTGGACCATTATGGGTCCAGATCTGAAGTCTAAACATGATAAGGGACCTTATTCTCAACAAATCAACCCAATAAAGGGAATAAGAAACCTTAGATCCATGAATGCCTTAACAAAACAGAAAGAGGGTCGGTATGCTACCTCAAAGATGATGCCCTCTACTTGAAATCCACGAATATGCAACTTCCTTGGCCTCTTCCAAGTTGGAATCAACGTTTTCTTGCAAAACAAACCCACAAAGGTCCAATAATGGCTTCTTCTCTCTCACAAACGCTCAAGCACAATAAGGGTTTCTCTCAAGGGTTTGGTAGCCGCAAATGGTGGCTATAAGCCCCTTTAAATAGGTCTCAAACCCTGGGGATTAGGGTTTCATTAAACAGCGTGGACTCGCCGAGTCCGCCATTAAATCAGTCTGACCATCCGCGCTCCTATTCGGCGAGTCTGAGCGCCTACTCGCCGAGTCTCTCTCCAAAAACTCAATATTAAAGCATAAAATAAGATACCCGGGAGTCCGGATGTTACAAACGGATCCTACCTCCAATACAATCTTATTTAGTTGTTTCTTATCAGCTATACACCAGTGTTTCATTTGCGATTATTGATAAATCTGATTGAAACTTTATAACGATTAATCCTTATAAATACAAACGAACGCCAAGGCTTAATAATATTTATATTTAGGTTGTTTTAAAAGGAAAATCTAATGCGTCGGTCAAGGATCTGACAATCCCGCAAGTCTTCCACCTATATCACGTGAGCGCATAGTTACTTTCATTAACATAATTTAATACGAGTAATTATTAAAATGTATTGTAACATCTGGTTTTGAAGTACTTCCATTGTTGGTCCTTATATTATAATGTATTGTGCTTTTGGTCCTTAAGTTCAAGAAGCATGCAAAAAGGGCCTTAATGGCATTGTTGTAAATTGAGGCTTCGGAATACGCCATGCGTACATGGTGTACACCGAGCGTACTATGGTGTGCCCTAGTACACCGAGCGTACATTATTATATGCTCGACGTACTTTCTAATTGAGGAAACCCCTAATTTTTAGGGTTTGGCTGGCAATTAAGCATCCTTATGGACTCATTTCCCTTCACCTCATCAACCTCCACCCTCTCATTAGTGTTTGTAACCCTAGTTTACCATGAGAAGCCATTTCTAGCCTAAAAGTGTGTGTTTGTGTGCTTAGAAGAAGAATGAAGGAAGCCAAGCTCATCTTGGAAGAGTAAAGCACTTTAGATTTGGGACTTATTCTTCATTGGCAACCTTTCAAAGGTAAAAAGCTTGCAACTTTATCCCTCCATCTCATAAATGTAGTGTTGGTTGTTTTATGGAGCTTTTTGGGTCCCAAAATTGTTACATCTTGAATATGGCATGTTCTTGACCTTTGAGTTGTCCTTTCAAAACCCTAGGTTTGTTTTGCAACCATCATACATATATTTATCGTAAAAAGTTTATTAATAAGAATTATATTTAAATTTGGAAATATTTGTATACAACCTCTTTCTACACATATTAGTGTGGAAAATTTACTATGAGTGATATTCTACATCCTTGATAATTTTATCACGGGTGATATTCTATATTAAGAGCCTCTAAGGTTGCAAGCATACAATATTAGAAAACAAACATCAACGAAAGTTTAGACACATAATGTCAATGTCTGGATTGCCTGCCGTAATCCCAAAATCCAACTCTTTTCAAAACTTTAACTAGTTTGAAAAGTTATTATTTGTCAAACTTGAACCATTTAATCACATAGCTACTTTTGGGGAACTATTGACAAAATCTTGTAACCATTACCGTATAATCATATAGCTACTGTTGAGGAGATGTTGCAAAAATGGGGCAAATAGCCTTGATGCTCAAGTTATCAAAAGGGGCAAAAGTCCACATCGTTTTCCATGTTTTTGTACAAAAAAGAACAAGTTAACATTAGCCAACATCTTGTTCAAGGATTTCCATCTTTGGCTTAACATGACCAACTCCTAATTTAACCAAATACGATCCTATTATTAGAAAGAAAGATACCATCGTCGTTAAAGTATTAGTCGATTGACAAACTACTCTTATTGATATGAGGCACCCAACACATTTCGTGATTTGTAGCCTCGAAGACAAGTCTCTTTTACAATAGGAGTTTAAATAACACTTTTTATCAAGTAAATGGGAAGTATTTGCCTTTTGTGATAAGTAGGCGTGGTATAATTGAAATATTGTTTGTTGAGATGTTAGTAGCGACATGATGGGGAAGAGCAAAAGAAAAGAGTATCCCGAAATACCATTTGCTTAGTACTTCCACCTCTATCTCCTCCTACTCCCTTCTTTTCTACATCCATTCTCCCCCGTTTCATTGATCATTACAAAAGATGGTCGGCAATTCTATAGCAAACATTCCAATTTGCCCTACTACGATGCTAGCTGCACAATGGGTCTCCCCCAAATCCCGTTTAATTGCCCTAAATACATTCCCTTCAACACCCCCAAAACGGCGTTCACTTACTGTAAAAGCCGCATCTCACGATACAGAAAACAGCCAACAACCCTCATCGTCATCGTCTTTAGAAAGCAATAAGAAGAATCCACTTGCAGTTGTCCTAGACGTTCCTCGGAATATCTGGAAACAAACGTTGCGCCCTCTCAGCGATTTTGGGTTCGGTAGGCGAAGCATTTGGGAAGGCGGAGTTGGGTTGTTCTTGGTGTCCGGCACTGTGTTACTTGCACTTAGTTTAATTTGGTTAAGAGCTTTCCAGTTGAAGTCCAGGTTCAAAAAGTATCTCGCTGTATTCGAATTTTCTCAGGCTTGTGGGATTTCAACTGGTACTCAAGTTCGGATCAGAGGGGTTACTGTTGGTAACGTTATCCGTGTTAATCCTTCTTTGAAAAGTATCGAAGCCGTCGTAGAGGTTAGTTGCATTGTCACTTGATCTTCTAGTGAAAGATTTTGAGGTTTATTGATTGATTGTTGATTGTGTCATTGTAGGTTGAGGATGATAAAACAATTATACCTAGAAATTCGTTGATTGAGGTGAATCAGTCGGGGCTTTTGATGGAAACCATGATTGATATTACTCCTCGAGATCCAATTCCGACACCTTCTTTTGGGCCTCTGGACCCAGATTGTGCTAAAGAAGGCTTGATATTGTGTGACAGACAAAAGTTAAAAGGAGACCAAGGTGTAAGCTTGGATGCATTAGTTGGGATTTTTACACGTCTTGGAAGGGAAGTAGAACAAATCGGTGTTGCTAACACTTATGCATTGGCGGAAAGAGCTGCTGCTGTTATCGAAGAAGCAAGACCATTGCTTTTGAAGGTTTGATTTCATTTGGTAACCTTGTTCCCATTTTCTGATTGAATACTTTTAAAAGAATGGAAATTGGAATTTGAAGGAATTGAAAATCTGTAAGGGGTTTGGTTGGCATTGTAGTTTGTAAGGAGACTTTGGTCCTTTTAATCCTGATGAAAAGGGAATGGAATTTAATCCCAGCCAAATGCCTTATGAAATGGAATCTCACATTCCAATTCCTCCTGATTCTGCTGAAATCCTCAAAAACCAAAGATGATCTTAAGGTTGATTTAAGTGTTTGCTCATTTTAGCGTTTCTTTTGCTGAATTTTTTGGGAACTGGAATTCAAATCCTTTTTTTTTTTTTTTTTTTTGATTCAAATGAGTAATGATTTGAATTATCCTTTTCATCCTGGAACCTATGGAATTCAATTCCCTTTATTTTCTCACTATTAGAATAATTAAATGCTAGGAAAAACAATGTAATGTCCACACTTTCATTTATATAAATAGCTTGTTGGTGGTCACATAAGAAGAATAATAGCATTACATTCGTTCTTTAATATATATACTCCCTCCAATCTCTATCCTTAAAATAATGCCAACAATTTCCTCTTAAAGTTGTACAAAAAAAAAAAAAAACATTTCCTTGTTTCGGAAAGTTTTCTGCCCATTATTATAAATCTTACTTGAAGTTAGTAACTTTAATTTTGATCCATAGGATATGTTTAGATCTTTTAATCAATATTCAGTAGGCAAACATGTTTTTTGAAGTTTGTGCTAAGTCAAGAACACTGGAGGGAGTATTAGATCCTATCACTAATTGGCAAACATCTTGTTTAGGGCCCACATGTGTCATGTGAGGTTGTGTTTGGATTTGCATCGAAAGTAATCCTGTTTCAAGTGTTTGGCAAAAAAATGTTTATGATTATTTATTTAGTGTCGAAACAACCAGATTATTTGATTTTGGTTCTTCAAGTTGCTGCAAATGCGTTCACTTTGAAGATGCATATATAATATTTAACAAAACTGTGGGTTGTGATCCATTAAAATTTTTATTTTTCCCCCTTGGAAAGAAAATTGGTTTAGATCCGCAAAAACTATAAAAGATATTTAAGCCCTGCAGACATGAAATCTTCATCGAGTAGGCTACTTAGTTATGTCAATTTTGAAATCTTGAACATTTTAATGGGTAAATAAATCGTGGTGAATTGAATCAAAATTAAAGGCCTAAAGGCCTTTTTCTTTTATTTTACCATGAAGTGTTATTGTGTAGGTAAATCATAAATGATGGTTAAGTAATATCTAAAAAACTCATGGGAAAATTTTCAAAAAGTTTGGTTATAATATTTGTTTTTGTATTGTAATGATTGCACCACAGATCCAGGCCATGGCGGAGGATGTTCAACCTATGCTGGCGGAGGTTCGTGAAAGTGGTTTGCTGCAGGAAGTCGAAACTTTAACCAAAAGTCTCACTCAAGCATCACAGGATTTGAGGCACTACACTTACTTCATATATATATATATATATATATATATATATATATTCATGTGAGACCGTCTAATTTTGTGAGACCGTGAGACGCATTTTTTTATTTTTTTATTTTATTTTTATTTTATTTTTAATTTTTTTTAGTTAATTCAAGTTCCGAAAATAATATTTAAAAAAAGAATTTTTTTATTTTTCCATTTATTTTGCATTTTAAAATTATTTTTAGAATATGTACAGTGTAATATTCTATTTAGAATATTTCACGTATTTTTCAAAAAAATAGGATTTTTTTATTTTTTATTTTTTTTAGTTAATTCAAGTTCCGAAAATAATATTTAAAAAAAGAATTTTTAGATTTTTCCATATATTTTGCATTTAAAATTATTTTTTAAAATATGTCAGTGTAATATTCTATTTAGAATATTTCACGTATTTTTCAAAAAAAAAAAAACGGGATTTTTTTTTTTATTTATTTATTTATTTATTTATTTTTTTTAGTTAATTCAAGTTCCGAAAATAATATTTAAAAAAAAGAATTTTTGGATTTTTTCATTTATTTTGCATTTTAAAATTATTTTTAGATTTGGTCTCACAAAATTAGCATGGTTTCAAATGAACCTGAACATATATATATATATATATATATATATATATATATATATATTCCAATATCGATTGGGCTCCTTCATTGTCATCTGATATACATCTCACATGATATTGCTCTGGTGTTAGCTGAAAGAATAATTTTTTTTTTTCTGTTAAAATTGAGATTTTCCATTTTTGATTTTTCAGAAGGGTGCATTCGTCAATTATGACTCCAGAGAACACGGAGTTGATTCAGAAGTCCATATATACCCTTGTATTTACTTTGAAGAACATTGAGGTATGTTTGTAAACATTCTTTTTCTTTCGTTCGAAGTTTCTTGACTTGTAATTCTTGATATTATTTTGGCATTTTCAGAGTATAAGCTCCGACATTTTGGGATTCACGGGAGATGAAGCTACCAGGAAAAACTTGAAGTTGGTCATCAAATCACTCAGCCGACTATTGTGACAAATGAAAACTTAAATATAAAACCCACAATTTCCATTTCAAATTGTTAAAGTTTATAGATTGTGATGTGATTCGGTTTTTTTAGTATGTGTTATAGGATATGCATTTTGTTAGTAGAGTTGAGATTTTCAGTGTGATCCAGAGAGACATCCTGTAGGATTGAACGTTTAAAATGTTGGTACTTTGTATTAACTGATTTTTCGTATTATATGACAAATCATATTTATATCCATACATACATACAATAACTTGTTGTATACTTGATTTACATCTTAATCTTTACAGACATAGTAAAATAGTAAGAGAAGAAAACTTGATTCTTGCAGCTGAAAATGGCTACATTGATAAATGATAACACAATATTGTGATCTTTATGGGCTATAATGGCAAAAATATAAAGTGTTACATGAAACTTGGCAAAAAACTAAAAATTATGCCTTGCCAATAAACTCGACGTCAAACAAGAGAACTGAATCCGGTGGAATGATGCAAGAACCTGCAAATGCACCATTTAGAACATGCTAAGTTTCACTGCTTTGTTAGAGTATATGGAAGAAATAACAATGTGCTTTCATTTATTTCTTTTCATTTCTTCTATTGCTATCAGTAGATTTTAAAGAGTATATTCAGCTATAGTAAATATCATTTGAATACAAAACAATTAGATTTCTCCAATAGCTAACAAGAAAAAGAGTCGAAAGTCCAATATAAAAATTTAGGAATTTCTTTATAAAAAAAAGTTTAAAAATACAATGTTATAATACAAAACAAAATTAGAATATTGTCCTACAATTTGCTAGATTTTTAAATTGCAAAAAGTTTTTTAAATAACATTAGAGATTAAAAAAAATATATATGTAGGAAACAAAATTACACAAATAAACAAAATGAGTATTAGCCCCCTTTTGAATATCATTTTGTTGGTTTGTGTGGGTAAGTGTGTTTACCTCCTTTACAACCAGCTCCTCGCATGCCATATCCAAGTTGTGAGGGAAGCTTCAACGTCCGTTTTCCTCCTATTTTGAATATTTGATCAATCAACATTCATTCATTCAATCGATCAATTGTATGAATTAAAGTGATTTTCATACCAGCAAGCATAGGAGGAACTCCATCGCCGCCTAGAATTCCTTGATCCCATCCCTTAATCACCTATTTCAATTTTCAAATCTAGAGTTTTTGAGGATCTCGGAACCGAATTAAAGCATATAAGTTGTGGGTTTTGTTACCTCACCAACGCCAATACGAAACGTAAGAGGTTTCCCTCGATTGTAGCTGCTGTCGAACACCTTTCCGTTTTCAAGTTTGCCTACATAATGTGCCTGTTTCAGTAGCAGTGGTGGTATCAATTAGCTTGATTTGGTTTTACAGGATCGATAGATTTGGGAAAGGAGTTGATTCGACCTTGATGAGTTGACCTTTTTTCAGGCTGAGGGCCATATCCCACAAGTTTATCGCAAAAGGCAAGGCCAGAATCAGCCACCGTGAACTCGCATGGTGTAGCCGTGGTCGATTCTGGTGCTGCGGAGGCCGGTTGAGGCGATACAACAGCATCCAGAAACTTGAGACATAGCCCAAACCCAATGGCTTCTCTTCTGCTTATGTTGAGTTGTTCTTTGTGTTTCAACAGGTGGTGGTTACTGGATTTGGAAAACGATGAAGATGCTATACTGATGGTGCGGTGGTGCTGGTGGGTTGGTGGTGATGGTGGGGAGGAGGAGCATTTGATGGGTGTAGGAGACAGAAGAGAGAAGGGGACAGTGGTGGTCATTTCTGCACTTTAGAGAGGAAAAGGGATAAGATTCAGAAAGTTATAGCCGAGTTAAACACTAAACATGAAAATGTTACAAAACTAGCCCTTAACTATGGCTCAGATTACATAAATTATTTGATTTTTTTTTTCTTGTAGTTCTAGTCAAATAAACTATAATTAGTTCATTATAGGGTTGTAAAACCAGCTGCTGAACTCAGTTGGATAGATCATTGGACCTTTATGTTCGAGCTCAGCTAACGAATATTTGAGTTTGATTTCAAAGTTGTAAGACATATTTTAGATGTGAGGGATACATGGCATACGGATGGTGGTCATGTTACGTGGTCAAGCGTATCCATGTCTTATCATGCAAAATCTCTCTCTCTCTCTCTCTCATATAACACATTGTTATAGTAGAGTGTTGAGTACCGACCTTAGGGATGAGGAAGTCGTTCCCTCCCAATCCACTGAACCCACTGCCACATCATTTTTTCTCTTTTATTTTTTTTTTATTTTTCCCAACCCACAACACCCGGAAACCTTATCTTTTTTAATCCACTTAACCCACTCAATTAAAAAAAATACAAAAACAACTAAGTTATAAGTTTTAAAACACATTGTACAAAAGAAAATGAGAAAGAGAAAGTAGAGAGAGATAATGAAGTGGGTTAATGAAACCAATCAATCAACCCATTGAAGCGGAAGTGGTACTGCCGGTAACTCTATTGCTAATTAAGATTTTACCTTTGATTGATTTGTATTTTTTTTTAATTGATTGGGTTGAATGGGTTCAAAATGATTGGGTTTCCATATGTTGTGGGTTAGGAAAAATGAAAAAAAAAAAAAAAAAAAAAAAAAAAGAAAAAATAATGTGGCAATGGGTTCAGTGAGTTGGAAGGGAACGACTCATTCCTCTCTTATAAGGGATAGGGAAATTGTGATGATGTGTGAGGTGATAATATTTTTTGTATGATGGTGTGATGGATATATCATATAGCCTTAAAAGCATAATATAAGATGCAAAATCAAGTAGACCACAAACGTTTAGATAGCTGAAATATCTTATCTTTATAGTTTAATTCACATTGAATTTGAAATTTTCATATTAAAATTTGTGTTAACCTTACATGTTGCAAGTGTGCTATATCATAACCAACTATGATAAGTCCTAGAAGGGTAATGCGAAAATTCAAATAGCATGAAACGATGATGAACTCATTATAGCTATGCAATATAAATATGTTCGATTCAAGTATTACAAAATATTTATTAGAAGTTAAAACTATATAATAATCAGGTTGAGCTCGGGATGACGGGATGTATATTTTGGGTTGAACATTTTGTGTCTTTGATATAAAAAGTCAACTTTTTTCATTATTGTAATTGTAAAATTGTCGAAGACAAATGAATACAAAAACAAAAATCAAGTGGGCCGATAATCCAAGCATGTGGTGGAACAATGGCATTCTTTTGTTCTTTGTCTTCACAATAATAATCATCTTGATGGTCTATCGGACATTCTCATACATCTAGTATTGGCCTTATCAAACATTTATACGAACAAAATAGAACTTCTTGATAGAATGAGTTAGAAGATGATCAACAAATTGTTAAACATGCCTAACAATTATACACTTCTAATTCACGAACATAAATTCATTTTGTGAGCATCATTTACGATTAGACAATTAAAAAAACTGTAAAAGAACTTACTGACTTCTAATTCACAAATATAAATTTGATTAGCGAGAAGCTCTCCGCAAAATAATTAGAATAGTTGGAATAATAACATAAGTATTACTCTCAAATCGTTCTTCACTCGTAGGCCTTATTAGTCGGAAAAAAAACATAGATATCGCTAGTTCACAATGAAAATTTGTGAGCTTCATGATCATTATTAGCTTATATAATCCTTTGAAATGTTTCAGAGTAACATAAGATGTTAAAAAATGATTATTTTAGTTAATGACTAGTGTTATTGTTATTGTTTTATATATACCTCCAATACACGAGGGGTAGTTATATATGGTGTCCCATAATGCCACCGACAATCCTGACTTCCGTATAAGCAGTGCAAAAGAAATTTGATTTTTTTCTACTACCGTGTCACTACTTAAATTTCTCTTGCCATCCTACTATGAAATCATGCGTCCACCCTGCCACTGCACACTTCTAGCAAAGACCCTCATCCTCACCAGCGATGCCATCTCCGTACATTCTTTTGCTGTAAAAAATCGCCATAAAGGGGTGGTTATTAAAGTAAAACCTTAAAATTATCGACACAATTATAACGCATCAAAGTTTGGCTCTACACCATTTTACTGTAAGATTTAACGGAGTGGGCTCGTTACCTCTGGTCACCAAGCTTGCCAAACGCACTAGAACACTGCTCCCTAGTAATTGCTAGGAGGCTCATTACCTTCGACTCATTGCAATCTTGGCGAGAAGAAACAAAAATGAATTGTGCAATGCGATTGGTGGAAAGGGAATTGGCTGGATTGCAATCTAATATATATATATATATATATATATATATAATATATATATATATATATATATATATATATATATATATATATATATATATATGGGAAAAGTGAATATACCCTTAAGGGTATATAAGCTTAGGTACCCAAACTCACCATAATACGTCGTTTTGTATCATATATACATTGTAATTGTCTAATTTTCTTATAATTCAACTTCTAACTTGATTTCATTCAAAGATTTTTATAAATTTCACATTTATTTTCCTCTTATATAATTTTCATTTTCAACTATAATATATATAGCATAATTGATGTTCGTGAAAAAGATGTAATGTAAGAGAAAAATAATAATGAAATTTTGAAAATCTTGAAAGTAAATCATGTTAACGATTGAAGTTGAAGAACATTATAATAAATATATCAAACAAAACGATGTATTATAGTGAGTTTGGGTACCTAAGCTTATATACCCTTAACGGTATATATATATATATATATATATATATATATATATATATATATATATATATATATATATATATATATATAGGTTCAGGTTCATTTGAGACCATTCTAATTTTGTGAGACCGTGAGACCAAATCTAAAAATAATTTTAAAATGCAAAATAAATGGAAAAATCCAAAAATTCTTTTTTTAAATATTATTTTCGGAACTTGAATTAACTTAAAAAAATATAAAAAAAAATTCGTTTTTTTTTTTGAAAAATACGTGAAATATTCTAAATAGAATATTACACTGACATATTCTAAAAAATAATTTTAAAATGCAAAATAAATGGAAAAATCTAAAAATTCTTTTTTTAAATATTATTTTCGGAACTTGAATTAACTAAAAAAAATATAAAAAATATAAAAAAAATCTTTTTTTTTTTGAAAAATACGTGAAATATTCTAAATAGAATATTACACTGTACATATTCTAAAAATAATTTTAAAATGCAAAATAAATGGAAAAATCAAAAAAAAAAATTTAATATTATTTTCGGAACATGAATTAACTAAAAAAAATAAAAAAATGCGTCTTACGGTCTCACAAAATATAGTGGTCTCAAATGAACCTAACCCTATATATATATATATATATATATATATTAAAAAAAACTTTTTTTATCTAATATATTACCAAATATTAGAAGTCTTACTGCTCCCTACCAATTGCTAAGATTAGATGTTAAATGAAAAAAAATTAAACACTTAAACGCTAATGCGGTAAGATGCTAGGAGTATTACTACTCCCCTTAGCCTAATAAGAAACAGGCGTCCGTTTTGAAGACGTTTATCAAGGCCCTCCCCAGAAGATGGATGATAGGGACAACCGTATAGGATTCATCGTTTACCTTTTATAGGGGCCAAATTTTTTAAGGCATTCATTATATATATATATATATATATATATATATATATTATATATATATATATATATATATA